GATTTACAGCCTTGGAAACTCTATGGGGCAGTTCTGCTCTGTCCTATAGGGTCGCTATGAGTCAAATTCAACTCAATGGCAATGGGTAAGAACTATCTATATGGGATCAAATTGACAACAGCAACTCGAAAAATTATAGAGAAACCTTAGAGGGCAGTGAATTTATGTTAATGGGGGAAGAACAACTCAGAAAAGGTGGATGAGAATGGCTGCACAACTAAAGAATGTAATCAATGTCACTAAATGGTACATGCAGAAACTGTTGAATTGATGTATGTTTTGCTGTGTATATTCTCAACAACAACAAAATAAATAAAATTTTTAAAAAAAGAAAATTTGAATAATGGAAATAAAAATCATGCCTCCAGATGAGAGGGCTAAATATGGTAAGATATTGCTTTTTCCAAATTCTTATGCTTATTGCAATCCCAATCAAAATGTCAATGGTATGAGAAATAGAAGGCATATTAGTGGTTGCCTGGGTCTAGGGGTGGGAATGAAGATTGATTGCAAAAGGGCATGAGAGATCCTTTTGGGGCAATAGAAATATTCTAAAACTGGATTGTGGTGGTGGTTGCACAACTCTGAATTATGTACAATGCTGAACAGTGCACTTTGCACACTTAAAATGGGTGAATTTTATGGTACATAAATTATACCTCAATAAAGCTGTTTAAAAATATATATCTAGCAAGTTTTACTATAAGACCATTCACATTACAAATCTACCTTTAGTTTTCCATGAAAGGATTTATATAGGCTTTATGATCTTGTTAAAAATAATTCATCATTTTTTTTCATGTGGTTTTTGTAAAAGGTAAATATAAAGATACAAAGTTTTAAAAAAGAGTATCTTGGAGTTTGGATAATTTCAAACAATGATTCTGAAGTTTTCCTACAAGAATAAACAAGAAAGAATAGCTAGAAAAAATTTTTTTAAAGCATAAGAGAACTTACCCCAATAGATACTAAAGCTACAATAATTAAAACAAGATGGTCCTGCTGTGAGAATCAACAGATTTATGGATTATGATTCATGTATATGTAGGAACTAAAAAAGACTTTCTGCGTATAAAAAATAAGCATATAAAGAAACAATCACAAGCTAATGGGTAAAGCTGAATATTCCACAAATGATACTGGGATAAATTACTTATTAATAAAAAAATCAAGCTAGAGACTAATGCTATACTATAAAAACCAAAAAACCAAACCCGTTGCCATCTAGTAGATTGCGACTCACAGTGACCCTACAGGACAGAGTAGAACCACCCCAAAGGGTTTCCATGGAGTGGCTGGTGATTTGAACTGCCGACCTTTTGGTTAACAGTCAAGCTCTTAACCACTGTGCTACCAGGGCTCCACACTATACTATATGCCCAAATAAGTTCCAAAACCAACCAAACCAAACCCATTGCCATCCAGTAGATTCCGACTCATAGCGACCCTATAGGACAGAGTAGAACTGTCCCACAGTGTTTTCAAAGAGCAGCTGGTGGATTCTAACTGCCAACATTTAGGTTAGCAGCCAAACATTTAACCACTGCACCACCAGGGCCCCAAATAAATTCCAGATTAATTTAAAAGTCAAATGAAAGAATTCAAACAACAAAAATTAAGAAAAACATATAGATTAATATTTAACTAATCTTAGAATGGGGAAGAAAAGCACAAACACTATGAAAGAAACAGTTAAAATATTCATACTATGGTACCTTATACAGCCATTAAAAATGAAGTTTTTCAAAGAATTTTTAGGAACCATAGGAAAAATGCTCATGAAATAATAAGTAAAGAAAGCAGGATATAAAACTGCACCAAAGCAAGAGCACAAATTAAATTTTTTAAAAAACTACATATACACATAAAAAAGATAACACCAAGATATCCCACCATCTATGGAATGATAGATAGCTGTGGATGGTAGAATTATAGGTGAATTTTTATTTTCTCTTTTGAATTTTTAGGGTTTTCCCCCATATTGTCTACTATAACCATGTGTTACTTTTAAAACCAGAAAAAAAAGGTGTTTTTTTTTTTTTTAAGATTTAATAGGATGGAAATATAAAAAACTATTCAAATTAAGTCACTGAAAAACAGCAGCTTCAAAACATACATTTTTTACATGTATATTTCACATTTTAAAGTTTAAAAAAATAAAATAAAACACAGCCTTCTTGCAAGGATGGCAGAGCCACCGCAGATAGTCTCTCACATGTTGGCGCCGCGCTCACCCACAGAGGATCGCCCTGCCAGGAGGATGCAGCCATGCTGGCTGGGTGTCCCGACCCCTATGGGCGGAGAAGATAGATTCGCACACAGACTTGGCTGACAGCCTGGTCACTTCCTAAATGAGCTCCCTGGGGGCCCACATGGCCATCCTTACATAAGGCCCTGCTGTCCAGCCTGTGGGCTGTCAGCACAGACTAGCCCCACTAGCTCTACTTGGGCCTCCAGGAATGTACCATGCTGACAGCCTAAATCACGTGAGACCAGGAACGAAGTGGGCGAGAGTCCTTGAGTTTTGCCCCACCCCAAAGCCCTCAGAACTATGGTCCCCAGGTCCAGCTCAGTACCCACTGAAATGAAGCCCTCTCTCCAGGTCACCCTTGCAACTGGTCTCCTCTTCCTTCCGCACATGAAAGTTCTCTCCAAGGGAAATGTGGCCCTCCCTGTTCCCCGTGAAACATGCTTTTCCCTTTGCCCTCCATAAGGTGCTGTTTCAGTGTGTCCCTCCTGTGTGTGTTTCCCTTAACTGTTCCAATAAACTGCCTCTCCTCTGCCCCTCACCCCTGTGTGACACGGCTTTCTACCGATTCTCCTGTTCCCTCATGAAGCTGCCATTTCTAGGACCCACAACTCCTGCTTCCTCTATCCCAAGAAATGGTCTCCTCTTAGTTCTGCTGAAAAGAGAGATTGTCTCCACTTAGGATTGCCAGATTTAGCAAAAAGAAATACAGGACACCCAGTTTAATTTGAATTTCAGATAAACAATGAATAATTTCTTAGTATAAGTATTTCCTGGAGTCTCTGAGTGGTACAAAGAGTTAACATGCTAACCAAAAAGTTGGTGATTCAAGTCCACCCAGAGGTGCCTCGGAAGAAATGCCTGCCAATCTACTTTCAAAAAATCAGTCATTGAAAACCCTATGGAATACAGTTTTACTCTGACAAACATGGGGTCTCCATGAGTCAGAACTGACTCAATGGCAACTGGTTTAACTGGTATAAGTATGTTCCATGTATTTTCTCTGCCCCTACCCCTACTCTTGAAACACTTTTTCCTTCTGTCCCTCATAAGAAAGACTGTCTTCTTCCTGTCCTACTACAGAACACTGTCTCCCCAGGTCCCTGTGAAGTGCTGCCCTTCTCTGTCCCCTTCCATGAGACACTGACCCCAAGGGACAAATTGTTTCCCTCTGTCTATTCTCTCAATCTCACTCTTCCTTCCCTCCCCATCAAATTCCTTAATATGGTTACCCATCTGTCTCTTTCTTTGAAGACTGGACACCCCACTGCCCTTTCTCCTCACAAAACATCATATTTTCTCTGATGGCTACCTGCTCCTCAGGAAATGACGGCACTCTTGTTCCCAAGTAAAGCCATTTCCCTCTACCTCCCAACTCAGTAATATCTTAATACCTACTGCTATTTATTTAGTTCTTCATAGCACCAGGCCCTGTGCTAAGCACCCTAGTTCTCTCAACAGCCCTCAGTAAGGAGGTCGTATTATTATTTCCATTTTACGAGACTTGAAAGGTATCACACAATAAGGGTACTAGTCAGCTTTGAATGTATGTATGCCAGACACCAAAATCTTAGAAAAACTCAGATTAAATCAGAATCTCCTAGACGTTTGGTAGCTTGTAAAAATCTTCTAACGAGCATCCAGGTTGAGAACCACTGCAGACTACAGGCCTCCACTGCTCTTCAGTCTCCCTCATGAAACACTGCTGCCTCAGTATAACCAGTTGCCAACAAGTCAACTCCAGCTCATGGCGACCCCATGTATGTCAGAGTAGAACTGCTCCACAGAGTTTTTGTTATGGATTGAATTGTGTCCCCCAAAAATGTGCGTTAATTTAGCTAGGCCATGACTCCCAGTATTGTGTGATTGTCCACCATTTTGTCATCTCATGTGATTTTCCTGTGTTATAAATCCTAGTTCCATGATGTTAATGAGGCAGGATTAGAGACAGTTATGTTAATGAGGCAGGACTCAATCTACAAGATTAGACTTTTCTTTTGATATATGAAAGAGAGAAAAGGGAAGAGACAGAAGGGGACCTCCTACCACCAAGAATGAACCAGGAGGGGAGCATGCGCTTTGGACTCGAGGTCCCTGCGCTAGGAAGCTCCTAGACCAGGGCAAGATTGATGACAAGGATGTTCCCCCAGAGCTGACAGAGAGAGAAAACCTTCCCCTGGAGCTGCCACCCTGAATTTGGACTTCTAGCCTCCTAGACTGTAAGAGAATAAATCTTTCTTTGTTAAAGCCATCCACTTGTGGTATTTCTGTTATAGCAGCAACTATGTAACTAAAACAGTTTTCAATGGATTTTTTGGGAGGTAGATTGCCAGGCCTTTCTTCTAAGGTGCCTCTGGGTAGACTCGAACTGCCAACCTTTTGGTTAGTAGCCAAGTGCTTAACTATTTGCACCACACAGGGACTCCTTGCCTTAGTATAGCCAAGGAAAACCCTCTCCGCTGGACTCTTCCCCAGGGAACACTGTCTTTCCTCTAGTCCTTTTGGGACCCAGTTCCTGGGCTGTGAGCTCCCATGCTCTCAGAAGAGGGGTCACAGTCAGGCAGTGCTGTCCATATGCCTGGCATCTGGAGAGTGGCTGCAGCAAGGGCCATGCCTGTGGTCCCCTGCTCCTGGCTGGTACTCTACCCTGCCCCACCCCCCTCCATAAATAGCCCACTGCTCGCTCTTGTTCCAAGAGTTTCCATGAGGTCAGCTTCCCAGAGTGGCCTCAGGTACCCAACACCCAACTTACCTCTCCTGGAGTCTTGTGACCTGCTTGCCCCTGCAAGGGGCTGTCCCGGGTGCTGTGTCTCCGCCGGGCAGGGGGCGTTGGCACTGTGGCAGTTGCTTGAGTTGGAGACTTCCCTAAACCCTGGAGCCCAGGCTCTGGAGCCTGACTCAGGCAAGAGTCGGGCCTGCTGTTGGTGGTAGGCTCCTCTTTGGGCTTTGGAGGGGCGAATCTCTTACTGTTGAAAGGCTTCATTGGCTGGAGGGCTGGGAAAGGTGTGAGTTGGCCAGGGGCGACAGGCACCTCCTTGACTCTTGCCTGGCCAGCTACCTTCCCCAAGGGTGTCCCTCTGGGTGCCCTGCCACTTGGGGCCTGGGACTCCTCCCCAAGCCTGGCTGCCTGGGTGTTCTCCAGATACCTGTCCTTCAGAGAGAAGTACACTTCCTGGTCTGGACCCGGAGCTGGGGCAGGGCCTGGGGCAGGGACATGGGTTGCAGCAGGGGCCAGAGCAGGGGCATCCTGGGCCTTATCTCGAGTGCTCTTAGCAGAGGCTGGCTTCCTAGCACCATCTGCTCCAGAGGACCCAGGCCCCCATGCAGCCCTGCCTCTGGGCAGGGTCAGAACCTGCTCCATGTTCATGGGCCCCTGCATTCCACAGGAGTCAGGCTTGTCTGAACTGGGAACACGGTTTTCAGAAGGATGGTGTCCTCGGGCTGTCTTCTCTAACTCTGGCTTCCACAGACCTTGCTTAGGTTTCTCATCTTTCTTTTTCTTCTTGGCCCCAGACTCCTTTTTGGGGGCTCTCTGGGACCCCAGCTCCATGGTCTCACAGATGTATGTCAATAAGCCATGCTCCCCATCCTCCAGGGCTGCCTCCCCATTGGTGGTCACCTCCCCGGGAGCAAAACTGTTGAGCAGGCCCAGGCCTGGGTGCTGAGCAGGCTCAGTCTTTCCCTCCTGCCAGGCTGCCGGGGTCCCACCCTCAGCCTCCCTAGGAGGGGCTGAAGGGACTGGCACTTCAGCCCCACTGAGTCGTCGCTTTCGCTGGAAGCGGTCTGGGCTGAGCTTGCGGAGGGTGTCGGCCTCCTCGGCCGCCTCCTTCCCATGCTTCCAGCTCTGCTCTATCTCCCGCATCTTTGCCACAGCCTTGCGCTTCAGCTTGGCGAACCAGCGCTGGTGGATCTTGTACTCAGTCATGGTGCCCACCTCCAGCACCCCTGAGCAGGTTACAATGCCCTTGGCATTTCGGGCAGAGGCCTGGTAGATGGCAGCATCTTCTTCTCGGCACCTAGAGGTAGGGGCATGAGGTGATACCTCTTCCTCCTGGGAGCCGCGAGCCCCCACCCCATGCAGCCAGAGCCTCGCAGAGCTGTGCATGCTGTGCCCTCCTCAAACAAATCCTGTCCCGAGTGACACATCCTTGCCTCAGACATCACCACACCCAACACCCTTGGTTACAATTGAGGAAACTGAGACTGAAAAGAGGGTGGGAGCTGACCAAGATCACACTGTCCCCAGATGGATTAGACTCAGGGCCCAGGAGAGTTTCTTTCATAAACAAGTGACCCAAACAGTAAGAATGACACAGTAGCTTTTTTTGGCGGCTGACCTCACGGAAAATGTTTCTATGGGTCAGGACCTCCTCTAGTTGCGCTCAGCCCTCTGGCTGTCAGAAATACTCCCATCCTGGCCTTAGGAGATCCCAGGCACTGGCAGGCAGACCTGGTTCATCAGGCGGTACAACTCAGCAGCAGAACACTGCCCTCCACCCCCGATCCTGCCTGGGCATCTTCATTCAGCAGACTCCATTTCTGAGGGCAGGCTCAGGGCCATAGGGCCCTCCGGAGGGCAGAGAGAGGAACCAAGTACCTTTCCCTCACCTGTAGAGCTGCAGGGTGTGGCTGTTGCCCTGGTGAGTGATCTGGTATTTTGGCAAGCCACAGTAGCGGTCCAGCTCAGTGTCATCCTTGTACCAGGTGACCTCCGGCTCTGGGTATCCTAAGAAGGAAGCAAGAGACTTTATTGTAGGAAGGACAGTTCCAAAACAGTGGAAGGAGAGAAAAGGATGCCATAGCTTTCCCAGACTACCTGAAGGACACCTGCCCCAGGTGTGCTGGAAGACCAGGGTCAGCATATGGTTCAGCATGCTTTTAGAAACCAGGCTCTGTCAAAGCTGAAAATTGTTTCCTTCAGCAGCTAGAAGGCAGATAGAGGAGAATCCTCCTAGCTTCTGTAGGAAGGGAAGCAAGGAGTTTCCAGAAAGCCTTGGCTGGTGGTAATTACCTTTCTTTCTGCGGTGACCCATTCTATGCCCTCAACTATAGGAACAATCCTATCCTCAGAGGTCTCCCTCCCAACAGCCCACCACAAACATCACTGCCAAGAGCCCTTCTTCCTTCACCCCAGGCCCCTGAGTTGTGGGTATTATTTGGATACCCAGCTAAAATATTCATCCATTCATTCATTCATCCATCATCTATCTATCCACCCATCCACACCTACTTACCCACCCGTTCACTATTTGTGACACCGATTGAGGTGTCTGTCTAGCCCCTCTTCTCCAGAAATTTTCAGCCCTATCTACAAGGAAGAGCTTCCAACTGTTTCAGTCACATATTCCTGCCTCCCTGGCCATAGCTGATTGGTCTAGAAGTGAAGGCATAGGGCAGCCATGTTTTGCCACATGGACTGAGAAGCAGACAAAGCTGGTCTGCCGTGAGACAGAAAAATTAAGTTGATATTCAGGATAGAATAAGAGATGGAAGGCAGAGAGAATCTCAACATTCTTCCAAATACCGATTCCTTTCCTTGCCTGAGCACAGCTGCATTCCTGCTTGTCAGATCCGTAAGAGGCCCTTCTAGACTTACAAATGAATTCTGCTTCATTTCTTAAGCTGGCTCCAGTTGATTTCATTACTCATTAGAAACTTTCAAACCACCAACACTTTCAGTTAGTAGTTGAGCACTTAGTCACTTAACTGTTTGAACCACCCAGGAACTCCTAACACAACATATTCACTCAAAAATACACCCACACACAATTAAGCACCTGCTGACTGCCAAGCTCAGATATGAGGACACAGAGCATGTAAGATCAAGTCTCTGCTCTCAGAGTACTTATTGTAAAATAGAAAAGGTAAGACATGTATGCACACAAGGTGGCAATGCACCTGCATCTGTCCACATGTGCTTGGTCTTCCCTACTGTCTATGGATAAACTGCCTCCACTCCCCTCTAAAGCTGCCCCTGTACTGGATCCCATCTCCACTTGCCTAATCAAGGACATCTCTCCAACAATTACCTGGATCTCTCCTGCATCATCAAACCTTTTCTCTCTATTATCTCATTCCCATCAGCATACAAGAAGCTGTACTGTCTCCCTTCTCTAAAAACAACTTCCTTTGACCCCACGTCCTTCTGCCCCATTTCTCTGCTCTCTCCTTTATAGAACAACTCACTGAAAGAGTTTTCTGTACTCACTGTCTTCACTTCCTCTCCTCCAATCAAGCTTTTGTCCCCACAACAGCTCCAGAATTGCTTCTGTCAAAGTCACTCATGACTTGCACATTGCCAAACCTAATGGATGACCTTTATGCCTCATCTATCCAATCTATCAGCCGCTCTGACCCCACTTCCTGAAGGTCTTTCCACTCCGCTTCCAGGATGCCTCTCCCTCCTGCTGTTCCTCCTACTTCACTGGCCCGTTTCCTCTACCTCATTCATCACCAAGACCAGTAAATGTTAGAATACTCCAGAGTTCAGGCCCAGAACCACTGTCCATTTTCTGTCCACACTCACAACTAGGGGATCTAATCTTGTCCCATAGCTTTTAAATATCTGAATGCTGATGGCTCCCAAATTCGTATCTCCAGCCCAGACCTCTCCCCAAACTACTAGTGCTTATTTTTTACTGCATCTGAATCTCTACTTGGAGATTTAATAGGAATCAAACTTAACATGTCCCAAGACAAACTCCCTATTTCCCTTTCCAACCCACCTCCCACATAACTCAGTAAATGGCAACTTCATCCTTCTAATTCAGCTAAGGCCAAAAACTCTAAAGTAATCCTTTTTTCCTTTCTTTTTCTCACATCTACTCCATCAGGCCATCCTATAAGGCTCTCCTTTCAGAATATATCCAGAATATGATCACTTCTTGCCACCATCACCAACCTGGTCCACATAAACATCATCTCAACCTCTGTTTCTGCAAAAACCTCCTCCCTGATCTTACTACTTCCATCCTTGCCCCTCTTCTGCCCATTTACAACACAACAGCCAGAGTGATTCTTTTCAAACAAAGTCAGGTCATGTAGTGCCTCTGCTCAAAACACCTCCAACCAGTTGTTATCAAGTCAACTCCGACTCACAGCAACCTCATGTGTGTCAGAGTACGACTGTACTCCATAAAGTTTTCAATGGCTGATTTTTCAGGAGTAGATTACCAGGACTTACTTCCGAGGCATCTCTGGGTGGATATGAACCTCTAACCTTTTGGTCGGCAGCCAAGTGCTTAACCGTCTCCAAAACACCTCAAGAACCAAAACCCATTGCCGTCGAGTTGATTCTGACTCATAGCAACCCTATAGGACAGAGAAGAACTGCCCCATCAGGTTTCCAAGGCTGTAAATCTTTACGGAAGCAGACTGCCACATCTTTCTCCTGCAGAGCAGCTGGTGGGTTCACAACGTCAACCTTCCAGTTAGCAGCTGAGCTCTTAACCACTGCACCACCAGGGCTTCTCACAAAACACCCCAGTGCCCTCCATTTCAACCAGGTCCACATGACCTGGTCCCCAGTACCTCTCTGGCCTCGTTTCCTACCACTCTCCCCCTTGCTTGCTGCACTCCAGGCCTGCAGTCCTGCTGATTCCTCCTCTAACACACCATGCAAGTGTTCAACTTTGATTCCCTCAGGTCTCTGTCCACCTATTACCTCCCTAGAGAGGCTTTCTGTACGACCCTTGATAAAACAGCAACTCTCCCTCCCTGGCACTTCTTATCCCTCTTCTCTGTTTATTTTTCTCCATAGAACACATCCCTATCCAACATATTGTACATTTATGAGCTTGTTATTTATTGTCTATCCTCTCCTACCCACCCCTCTATGGAAATATCAGATCCATGAGAGCAGAGACTTCTCTATGTTATTCACTGCTGTACCAGAAGTTTCTAGAGTAATGCCTTGTATGGAATCCAAACAAAAATCACTGCCACTGAGTCAACTCTGACTCACAGCGACCCTATAGGACACAGTAGAACTGACCCATAGGGTTTCTAAGGCTGTACATCTTTACGGAAGCAGATTGCCACATCTTGCTCCTGTGGAGCGGCTGGTAGGTTCAAACCACCAACCATCTGACTAGCAGCCAAGCGCTGTAACCACTGCACCACCAGGGCTCACTGTTGTATGGAATCAACACTCATTAAATCTTTTTAGATGAATAAATGAAGCAATACACAAGTGAAGTGCTCAACTGTGCAGGGAAGGGAGTGATCACCTCTGGCTGGGGAAACAGGAAAGGCTTTATGGCATGAGTGGCACTGGAACTGCGCCTTGAAGGAAATGTGGGTTTGGTGCCCCCCACCTCCCCTCCCTCACTCCAGCTCTAGCATCACCTGAACTTCCCCATCATGGCTCTAATCATGACACTGTAATTAGCTATTTCCATGCTTGTCCTCCCCTACTAGACTTATGTCCCACATGGGCAGGAATCACATCTTGTTCACTGCTATATCCCCACCACCTACCACAGTGCCTGGCACAAAGTAGGTACTTAGTAAAACTCTGTTGGATGAGTGAGTAAACGAGTGAGCGAATCAACAAACAAGCACGAGGTAGATGAGAAGCACATGCCTGATAAAGGAACAGCAATACAGAGGCGTGGGGGTGAAAGGAGAGGGCACATGGGGCACCTGTGTACAGAAGCAGGGAACAAGGGAGGCAAGGCTGCAGCTGGGTTGGCCAGGAACACACTCTGGGCAGCCCTAGCTGTAAAATGAGCACTGTGTTTCCACTGTGAGTTAAAGTCCCTGGTTACACCACTGTGCAGGTGGCCAGGGCCAGCACAGGTGTTGTCACCATCCCATGGGATGATCTCATCCCTATGAGGTCCCCGCCAGAGCCTCCCTGCCCATGAATGGCCAGCATGGCCTCAGTCTCCAGGGCATCTAAGTACAGGTAGGCTGGGGCCGGGCGCAGGGGTGGGCAAGGAGGCTTAGGGGCTGCTGAATGGACCTTACAGCCCCAAGCCTGGGCCTCACCCCTCACACCACCCACTGGTGCCTCTTCTCACCATAGGGCTCCATAGTAACAGTGGGCTTTAGAGGCACCTTTCTGGGGAGTATTGAGAACTATATTCTAAAGCACACAAAAGCAGGAGGGATCTTCCACTTGCAGCTGCACACACATGCACGCACACACACTCAGCCTGGCCAGGAGAGCTCCTAGTGGTACTAGGGTATGTGCCTTCCCTTCTCCTCATCACACCCTGAGTGAAAAGAATCCCCAGGGGACCTATGTCCCTTCTCCAAGCCCCCAAGGGCTTCCCTCACAGGCCAGCCAGCAGGGGCACTGGCACAGACGCCCACCAGGAAAGCATCACCTATGCCTGGCAGGGCCCTCGTGGGGCTGAGCTGTCGCAGCCTCCTTTAGGGAATGCTACAGACAGGATGGGAGAAGGAAAGGTAACTGTGGTAGCTCTCTCCCTACAAAGACAAGCCAGGATCACCAGGCCAGTGTCACATGGAGGCCAGTCTCAGCCATAGATTCATCCACTGTCCACATCTCAGGGCTGGGGAGACCCAATTTCTAATCCTATTTCCTTGGTACTCTGATACTTCTGAATCACCCCTCCCCACCTACAGGCACCGTCCCCCTGTCCTCCAGTCTATATTTTCTCCTTGTTAATTGGGGAAGACTTGCTTATGGTGTACTATAGTGATCATAAAGACCTCTTTCCTAATCAGCTACATAAAAATCTGGGAATTAAAGATTTT